ATGAACTGTTGCGGCAAATCATGATCATGATGGAGGGCCACTACAGACTGGAGAAGCAGCCAGCCCAGGGCCTGAGCCTTCGCGAAGGTTCCAACGCAGACGACACCCCAGAGGCACCCCCCGTCAGCGTAGCAGCCACGACGAAGCCACCTTCGCGAAGGAAGTCGCAGACCACCTCGACGAAGGACCCAGATGTACAGCCTTCGCGAAGGCGGGATAGATCATCACCTTCCTCGGCTACATCCTTAGATGCAGACTCAGACCACCAGACCACACGGAAGCCTTCGCGAAGGTCAAGTCGCCGTTCCCCAGGACCGGACGCAGAGGAAGCTTCGCGAAGGCCTTCGCGAAGGACACCTGACCACAGATCGTCATCGTCCAGAAGGACTTCGAGGGACTACACAAGAGCTTCGCGAAGCTATCAACATTCTCCTCACAGGTCTCCGAGAAGGTCAACCCATAGACGCAGATCACCAAGACGATCGCCTCGCCGTTCACCGCGCCGATCTCCTCGTACATCACCACGTCGATTGCCTCACAGGTCACCACACAGTCTGCACACAAGTCTACAGTCAGGTCTCCCCGAACGTCACCCGACATAGAGATAGAAACACACAGTCCACCGTCAGAAGAGCATCAACCTCTCATCAGCGATGCTGGGATAGAAGATGATAGAGGCATCATTTTCTCAGACGCTGAGATACGATATTGGATGGTAAACAACCTAGATCTCTCTTCACCTTCCAAGAGTGGCAACTCGGCGCAGACATACCTGATGAAGGAAGACGATGCAGACACCATCACCTTACCTCCGATCGACCCGATTGCTGCGGTGCCACAGAATGAGGACACAGCCTACCATAAAGCCATGAAAGTTCAAATGCCAGAGGCGTATGTTCTTGGCCTTAATAGATCTAGAACGATCAATAAGATTCTTATCACTAGATTTCTTGACACAACTTCTGAAGATGATAGGATGATCTACTCGGCTCTACTTATGCAGAACCAGCAAGAACCACACCTTGTATGAAGCTAACGCTCATATATTGTTCGGACTATAAACACTTCGCTAAGGAAGTCCCAGGCCGCCTCCGCGAAGGAGATAGAGCCTCACCAGTTACAAGGGACGTCGCGGAGGAGTAACGCTTCACCGACCCCACATCCTGTTAAACACAGAGGCCGTTCGCGAAGCAAGAGCTCATATATATATATACTAATCGGGCTTTGACTCGATACCTTCGCGAAGGTCGCGAAGGCTAAGTGGCTCCAAGTCTACTTCACCCAGAAGATCTAGAAGGGATACTTCGAGAGCTTCACGAAGTCTCCGGCGTTCACCGAGGAAGTCTCCTCCAAGGTCTCCATATACTAGCCACTCGTCATATATAGCTACTCGTCAGTCCGTTCAAGACATCGCATAAGTTGTCTATCAACTGTATACCAGATGCCGTCTATAAGCCTACGCGAAGACAATTGCACAGGCTATTTACAACACAGAACGTCGCTGTATTAATTAGTCAACGACGTTTCATAGATCTTCACAGAAATCAACTGTTTACGTATAGATTGCTAGAATATGCAATCCCGGACGACGATACGATTATCTACATGCGTGACCATTACGCATATCTGCAGACAATTCAATATCGAAATTGAACAGCAGCCTTGTTACAGCGAGTATAACTCATAATCGTCAACGTTTCTGAGAAGAAATATGTACAACAAGTTCAGCTTTAATTCTACAATTATGACGATACATTCATGTATACAGTCTACAAGCTGACAACTTGCAAGTTTATTGTACCTTTATATAAGGAAGTCGGAATTATATTCAAAACTGAAGTTACTTTCACGACAGCCAGGAAAATAACCTACCCAGCATTAATATTACAGAGCGAGGTAAAGACCGACGATTATGCTAATATCAACGACGGCAAGATTTTATACAAGGTTTTTTCCTGCTACACTGGTGACATCACAGCGCGGGTATTCTACAGAATCAAAATGCCTTGTTCTGATTGGACCGCGATGGACAACGACCTACGCAGAGGTCGATCTTAGTTCACAGTTCAAGACTTACGTTACAAGTGACAACTATATATCAGTGAACGAGCAAGCCTCCTTACAGTCCAGTTAATCTGAACCTTCATGATTGGGCTGCTTTCTTCAGGTTAGAGACCTCCCCTGTCAAGTTAGGGCGAGGGGCACGGCAGTCAGGCGATTTTACATAAAGTTCAACGAGGACAGACACACCTGGTTGTGCACCTACATCGTCAAGGACTTCGCAGCAAATTACCTAGACGACGGGATACAAGTGGATCTAAATCCACAGCGTCTCAGACTACAGCTGAATTTCATCATCAAGCTACTAACACAACTAGATGGTTAGTAAACCTACTTAAGCTTTCTGATTGGAGAATTAAAACGGTAGTTTCACACTCCAACTTGGGGATCTGAATATAGTGCTCCAACACCTCACAAGTGAGGTTTATGAACACGCCTGGATGACATACTTGGACTCCATGATACGATGATTCTATCACGATGGCCAGCAAGAGCACTGTAAATTTATCTCCACCGAACCAAACAGGAAGGAAAAATGCAACAGATTATTTCCTCTATCATCAACTTACGCAGAATGAAGTCTCACGTACTATATCTCCGTTTGGATCAGAACTGTCATACTACGTGCATACAAGACGGATGGACCCAATCCGACCCTCCATGAGCTTTTAATACTCATGATATTAGAGCGCTAACTTCTACAATTGATCTACACAAATGTTATTTGAAATAATGGAGGGTTTATTTCTGGAGATCCGATATGGTGGTTGCCAACCATTATCTGAGAGATATCACCACCGAGGACGTCTCAGGTATCCACCAATTCGATCCCATGGTCCTCGCACAACAGTTGACAGTTCCTCGGAGAAGATAAGTCAATCTTACAGATTTCTACTTATCTTATAACAGTACTAAATAGCTACATGCTATATATAATTTGCTTAAGTTCCTTTTATCATCACAGTACTATGATTATTACATCATACAATATATAAGTTAACAACTCTACAGAGTTTGTTATTATATATTTACCTTAAGTTAATCATATCTTAAGAGTAGTACAATGGTTACATGATAAATGCATTAGCTAAACAAACTCTACAGAGTTTTTGGCTATTATATACGTAGCTTAAGTTAATTATATCTTAAGCATAGTACTATACTCATATTGAAAAATATATTAGCTAACAAACTCTACGGAGTTTTGCTATTATATAGGTAGCTTAAGCTTATTCATATCTTAAGCTCAGTACTATGTTTATATCATATAGGTATATTAGCTAACAAACTCTTAAGAGTTTTTTGCTATTTGGCTTAAGTGTCATCATATCTTAAGCAATATGGTTACATTATAACATGTATTAGCTAACAAACTGTACAGAGTTTTTGCTATTATATATGTAACTTAAGCTTATTCATATCTTAAGCGCAGTACTATGTTTATATCATATAGGTATATTAGCTATCAAAAATCTAAAAGAGGTTTTTGCTATTATATATTTGGCTTAAGTTTCATCATATTTTAAGCTTTATGGTTACATTATAACATGTATTAGCTAACAAACTCTCACGGAGTTTTTGCTATTATATATGTAGCTTAAGGTTTCCTTCATAAGCTCAATACTAGGTTTATCTCATATAAGTATTTTAGCTAACAAACTCTAAAGGTTTTTTTTGCTATTATACAATTAGCTTAAGTTTCATCATATCTTAAGCAGTATGGTTACATTATAAAATGTATTAGCTAACAAAACTCTCACGGAGTTTTGCTATTATATATATAGCTTAAGTTTAATCATATCTTAAGCTCAGTACTATGTTTATAACATAAAAGTATATTAGTTAATAAACTCTAAGGAGTTTTTTGCTATATACATTTAGCTTAAGTCTAATCTTATCTTAAGCTTAGTACTATGGTTACATTATAAATCTATTAGCTAATAAACTCTACAGAGTTTTTGGCTATTGTATATGTAGCTTAAGTTAATTATATCTTAAGCACAGTACTATACTCATATTGTAAAAATATATTAGCTAACAAACTCTACAGAGTTTTGCTATTATATATGTAGCTAAAGCTTATTCATATCTTAAGCTCAGCATTATATCTATATCATATAAGTATATTAACTAACAAACTCTAAAGAGTTTTGCTATTATATAATTAGCTTAAGTTTAATCATATCTTAAGCTTAATACTATGTTTATATCTTAAAGTATTTTAGCAAACAAACTCTAAGGAGTTTATACTAGCATATTAACAAGCTGAAGTCTATTAGTCTTAAGCATTGTATTAATGTTATATATACTTTATCATAATAAGTACATTGTAATAACCTTTATATGGCAGCTGATAAGTTAGCAGCAGGAATTCATCAGTTCAGTGCCTTTATGAAGTTCCCATAGGGTTATTACAATCATCACAGTTCAAATCACTAATTATTAAAATCCAAAGTATTATATATTCCCACCTCCTTTTCCGTCGGATTCTACAAGCAAAAAGGGCATGAGTCAGGATAAGGAAAAATATGTAATTTTTGGAATAAAATTGATATTTTATACTTATCCTGACTCATGAGGTAAGCCCTCCCATCCTCCCCACATAACACTTTGGATTTCCCTGTAAATTCAAATGTTGGGCTCAGTATATGAGGAGAGAGTGAGGCACATGGGTGGAGGTGGCGCCCTCGTTCCCGCGCTTGTGGAAGGGATTTAACTCGTGGTGAGTACTCATTAATGATTTTACATTGAAGGGAACTTCAATTAGGGAGATACAAGTGTTCCACTATGTTCGCAAGAAGAATAAGACAAGCAAAAAGAGCATGAGTCAGGATAAGTATAAAATATCAATTTTACTCTAAAAATTACATTTTGTTCCATTTCAGAATATAGTAAACATAAGAGATTCAGAAGTGTAATGTTACTCTTGTTTGACTCAGGCAACATGAACCCAACGGAGAGGCAGAGGACCTGGAAGGAGAAGCGTGTGTTCTTTCTTACCCCCCCAAGTGATAACCAATGACCTGAGTAGGGGCACCTGCCCTGCTGACACTGTTAAGTGTCTAGTTATTGATGAGGCACACAAGGCACTTGGAAACCATGCTTATTGTCAGGTATTATTTTGGCTTGTGCCTTTTGTAGATCAGCAAGAGCTATAGTGTGTTATCCACATATTACTTAGGAAATGGCACCAATACTCTACACACTTCTGATTTTGTCAGTTATTACAACTATCAACATATCCAAAGGATCAAGTGGTTTCAACATGTGACCAGAATTATTACGATTCATGTTTTGTCATTCCCATCTATCCGTGCTCATTGTCATATGCCTACATCACTCAGGGTATATCCCCAGATCAGGCTGACATGCTGTTCTGTAACTGAAAGCATTAGCAGCATCAATAAACCCAGGAGAGTGACTAAGAGCCTCTCTGTGTCCAGTTGTTTATTACTCACAGTTCACAGTGCCAGATTTGGACAGTATCATGTATTTCTTCATTGCAGGTTGTGAGGGAACTGGTGAAATATACACAGCAGTTTCGAATTGTAGCTCTCAGTGCTACCCCTGGAAGTGATATCAAGGTCAGTAAGCCACGTGTCAGTAGTGGGAACATCTTTTTGGGATTAGATTGTACTAACACTCTGGATTGATTTTATCAATATCAATCACTGTTTTCCACAAGTAATGTGTCCCCAGCTTTCGAAATAGCTACTAGCCCGCTAGCCAAATGCTAGTTGATTGTGAATCGGGCCAGCAATATATTGTTAATGCTATGCCAACTGGCTAGCTGAAAATCTCAGATAATTTGTTCTTTATTTAATGGACATGAATATGATGAAGTCAATTATTAAAGTGGTAAAAGTCTGTCCACAAAAGTTTCGTCATATTTATGACCAAAGTGCATTTTGATATTGATATTTTGCTGGGCCACTGAAGTAAGATGTTGGCTAGCAACATTTTTACTTAACTAGCCCTCCTGGTCAGTGACTTTTCAAAATTAATTCATACACTGTGTGTCCACACTAAAAAATCTTTTCCCCCAATATTTATTGATGAAAGATATAATTGTTACAATGCCATGTATAACTTAGATCACATGTTTTTATGAAACACCTTCTCCTCTAAACCAGTATAAGGACTGACCGTGTGTTGATGATTATATACATGGTCTGGGTGTGATGTACTGTTGCAGGCTGTGCAACAAGTCATTACCAACCTACTGATATCACACATTGAACTGAGGACAGAGGAGTGTATTGACATCAAACCATACACTCATGAGAGGAAGGTAGAGAAGATTGTGGTAGCACTTGGAGAAGAACTATTGATGATACAGAAGAAGTATGTGCAGGTGGGTATACCTGAAGTGGAACACTCCTGGAATATACTCCTCCCCTTAACTCTAACATTGTAAGCATTCTGATTGACTGTACAAACAATATATGATCTCTTTGTGGTCAGGTGATGAGTATAGTAGTCCAGCGTTTGATCCATCATCGAGTTCTCTACAGCCAGCGAGAGGTGACAAGTCTCTCCAAGTTCCTCATATTGAAAGCAAGGGAGGCATTTCGACAAAACCCTCCTCCAAGTATGCCTGTAAGTACATATTGTTTTCCGCCGTTGATGAATATCTTATCATTAATTTACTTATTTTTAGCTCATCCTATAATGAACCATTGGAGCAAGTTTGTCATCCCATAGAGCATATTTATGTTGACCTTGTTGTACGTGGGACTTTGGAATGAACATTCTCTGGTCTTTTCTTAATTATTTTGCTGACTGTTGTAAGAACTTGTGGAAGTTCTACCTCAATCCTTTGTTTTCTGACATTGCTCCTAAAGTGAATACCACGGTTTATTGTGTTAATTGTCAGAGCCATCAGTATGGTGTGGTTGAGGGTGACTTTGCCTTGGCTCTCAGCCTCTACCATGGCTATGAACTGCTGCAACTGCATGGCCTCCGGTCGCTCTACAACTTCCTGGAGGGAGTCATCAACAGGGATAAAGGTTATGGTCGGACCAAGACAGAGCTCATGAAGAATGGGAACTTCCTTGAAATCATGGACCTCCTGAAAACAAAGTATACAATGGATGACAGGTGTGTACTGAAACAGTCAATAGGCACTGTTACTTGATACAACAGACATCAAGACAAAATTCCCTGTTGTTACGTTTTTATTATGAATGTGTATTCACATATGTCTAGTGTTTCCTAATGCTCCCCCTTAATACTTCTCTAACTGAAGAAAAATGACCTGTTTGGACAAACAACAACCTGCATAGTAGAATGTTGAGGTTTATGTAATCAGTATTTTTATCAATCTTTACATCCCTGCTAAGTAAGTATAGCCTGCATCCAAGATGAGTGACTCTGGTAAAGTTGAGTGTGTTGTTTGCTCACACGTTGTTACCTGATGTGTAGTTCATGGAGCTGTTCCCAGAAGCAGGCCAGCTTGGTCTCAGGTCATCCCAAGATGAAGAAGCTGGAGCAAGTCACCCTGGAACACTTCAACACATCACACCAGGGTAATGCCATTCTGTATGACTGCTGCACACTGGTTGCAGCATTAGAGTAATGGTGTTCTGTATCAGAGGCCCAGATAAGCTGCGTATCCGGGTAAAATACGCATATAAAATTTCCAATTACGCATTGAAAAATAATTGTTGCGTACCAATTACGCATTTAAAATGTTAGATACGCAGAAAGTTTAAAACAAATGCGTACGGAATATATTTATAAAAATCGCTTGTGTAATGAAAAAGACATTGATTGCTATCAAGTTGTACTGTTAGTATAGGACAACTGTTGTACTGTCAGGTATAGGATGAATGATTTTTTATGAAATCATTTCCATTATATTTAAGTTGGTTTTGATTAGGTATGACATAAGGCAGAACATACCTGCTTAGTAAACTTACTCAATGAGTAAAATGACTGTAATACCAACATATTTGAAAGCAGTGGGTAACGGAAAATGAAATACCCACTCAATACTCATAATACCCACTCCAAAAAAATACAGTGGGTACAGTACCCACATGAGCTAAATCTTATCTGGATCTCTGTGTATGACTGCTGCACACTGGTTGCAGCATTAGAGTAATGGTGTTCTGTATGACTGGTTGCAGCATTAGAGTAATGGTGTTCTGTATGACTGGCTGTAGCATTAGAGTAATGGTGTTCTGTATGACTGGCTGTAGGATTAGAGTAATGGTGTTCTGTATGACTGGCTGTAGGATTAGAGTAATGGTGTTCTGTATGACTGGTTGCAGCATTAGAGTAATGGTGTTCTGTATGACTGGCTGTAGCATTAGAGTAATGGTGTTCTGTATGACTGGCTGTAGCATTAGAGTAATGGTGTTCTGTATGACTGCTGCACACTGGTTGCAGCATTAGGGTAATGGTGTTCTGTATGACTGGCTGTAGCATTAAAGTAATGGTGTTCTGTATGACTGGTTGCAGCATTAGGGTAATGGTGTTCTGTATGACTGGTTGTAGCATTAGAGTAATGGTGTTCTGTATGACTGGTTGTAGCATTAGAGTAAAGGTGTTCTGTATGACTGGTTGCAGCATTTGAGTAATGGTGTTCTGTATGACTGGTTGTAGCATTAGAGTAATGGTGTTCTGTATGACTGGTTTCAGCATTAGGGTAATGGTGTTCTGTATGACTGGTTGCAGCATTAGAGTAATGGTGTTCTGTATGATTGGCTGTAGCATTAAAGTAATGGTGTTCTGTATGACTGCTGCTGACTGGCTGTAGCATTAGAGTAATGGTGTTCTGTATGACTGGTTTCAGCATTAGAGTGGTGGTGTTCTGTATGATTGGCTGTAGCATTAGAGTAATGGTGTTCTGTATGACTGGCTGTAGCATTAGAGTAATGGTGTTCTGTATGACTGGTTGTAGCATTAGAGTAATGGTGTTCTGTATGACTGCTGCACACTGGTTGCAGCATTAGAGTAATGGTGTTCTGTATGATTGGCTGTAGCATTAAAGTAATGGTGTTCTGTATGACTGCTGCTGACTGGCTGTAGCATTAGAGTAATGGTGTTCTGTATGACCGGTTGCAGCATTAGAGTAATGGTGTTCTGTATGATTGGCTGTAGCATTAAAGTAATGGTGTTCTGTATGACTGCTGCTGACTGGCTGTAGCATTAGAGTAATGGTGTTCTGTATGACTGGTTGTAGTATTAGAGTAATGGTGTTCTGTATGACTGGTTGCAGCATTAGAGTAATGGTGTTCTGTATGACTGGCTGTAGCATTAGAATAATGGTGTTCTGTATGACTGGTTGTAGCATTAAAGTAATGGTGTTCTGTATGACTGCTGCTGACTTGCTGTAGCATTAGAGTAATGGTGTTCTGTATGATTGGCTGTAGCATTAGAGTAATGGTGTTCTGTATGACTGGCTGTAGCATTAAAGTAATGATGTTCTGTATGACTGGTTGCAGCATTAGAGTGGTGGTGTTCTGTATGACTGGCTGTAGCATTAAAGTAAATGTGTTCTGTATTACTGCTGCTGACCTGCTGTAGCATTAGAGTAAGGGTGTTCTGTATGACTGGTTTCAGTATTAGAGTAATGGTGTTCTGTATGATTGGCTGTAGCATTAGAGTAATGGTGTTCTGTATGACTGCTGCACACTGGTTGCAGCATTAGAGTAATGGTGTTCTGTATGACTGGCTGTAGCATTAGAGTAATGGTGTTCTGTATGACTGGCTGTAGCATTTCAGTAATGGTGTTCTGTATGACTGGCTGTAGCATTAGAGTAATGGTGTTCTGTATGATTGGCTGTAGCATTAGGGTAATGGTGTTCTGTATGACTGGCTGTAGCATTAGAGTAATGGTGTTCTGTATGACTGCTGCACACTGGTTGCAGCATTAGAGTAATGGTGTTCTGTATGATTGGCTGTAGCATTAAAGTAATGGTGTTCTGTATGACTGCTGCTGACTGGCTGTAGCATTAGAGTAATGGTGTTCTGTATGACTGGTTTCAGCATTAGAGTAATGGTGTTCTGTATGATTGGCTGTAGCATTAGAGTAATGGTGTTCTGTATGACTGGCTGTAGCATTAGAGTAATGGTGTTCTGTATGACTGGGTGTAGCATTAGAGTAATGGTGTTCTGTATGACTGCTGCACACTGGTTGCAGCATTAGAGTAATGGTGTTCTGTATGATTGGCTGTAGCATTAAAGTAATGGTGTTCTGTATGACTGCTGCTGACTGGCTGTAGCATTAGAGTAATGGTGTTCTGTATGACCGGTTGCAGCATTAGAGTAATGGTGTTCTGTATGATTGGCTGTAGCATTAAAAAAGTAATGGTGTTCTGTATGACTGCTGCTGACTGGCTGTAGCATTAGAGTAATGGTGTTCTGTATGACTGGTTTTGGCAGCATTAGAGTAATGGTGTTCTGTATGATTGGCTGTAGCATTAGAGTAATGGTGTTCTGTATGATTGGCTGTAGCATTAGAGTAATGGTGTTCTGTATGACTGGTTTCAGCATTAGAGTAATGGTGTTCTGTATGACTGGTTGCAGCATTAGAGTAATGGTGTTCTGTATGACTGGCTGTAGCATTAGAGTAATGGTGTTCTGTATGATTGGCTGTAGCATTAGAGTAATGGTGTTCTGTATGATTGGCTGTAGCATTAGAGTAATGGTGTTCTGTATGACTGGCTGTAGCATTAGAGTAATGGTGTTCTGTATGATTGGCTGTAGCATTAGAGTAATGGTGTTCTGTATGATTGGCTGTAGCATTAGAGTAATGGTGTTCTGTATGATTGGCTGTAGCATTAGAGTAATGGTGTTCTCTTTGTATGACTGTTGCCGATTTGCTGTAATCCAGAGTAATTTAATCTTGTATGACTGCAGTTGATTGGTTGAGTTGTTTCAAATGTGTTGTTCTGAGGTACAGTTGAATCACAGCAGAAAACCCTAATGTGGATTAGATAGCGTTCAAAGTTTGGTGGAATTAATTGTTTGAATGAGTGAGAGTTAGTGACGGGGGCAGTACACCAATTCATCAGCTGTTCACAGTCTTTCCCCCACTAATCAAAGTGTGGATCAAAGCTTATAAGCAAAGAGTATTGTTTCTTACCTTGTATATTTGCTTGTATAACTGTTTCATGAAACAATTTGAAGTGGAGTAGTTCTGTGTTCCTCAGCCACTCGCGTGATGATCTTCTCCCAGTACCGTGACAGCGTTCAGGAAATCACAGACATGTTGAACCTTCACAGACCAATGGTAATGGCCATGAGCTTCATAGGTCAGTCATCTACAGGGAAAGCAACCAAGGGATTCACTCAGAAAGAACAGCTTAAGGTCTGTGAATTTGTCATCTAACAAACATGCAAGAAATGAAAGCCATCAATAATATTTCATTTCCTACATTACAAGAAAAAAAATCAAGATTAGGTCAAGAAATGTGTATGGGTATATGTATTAATATATTGTGGTTATTATCATTTCAATCATTTCGAATGTAACTCCCTCCAGGTAATGAAAGAATTTCGAGAAGGTGGGTACAACACTTTAGTGTCAACATGTGTCGGTGAAGAAGGCCTTGACATTGGTGATGTGGATCTGATTATCTGCTTTGATGCACACAAGTCTCCAATCCGCCTGGTGCAGAGAATGGGGCGCACAGGGAGGAAGAGGCAAGGCCGCATAGTCATGCTGGTCACTGCTGGCAAAGAGGAACAGGTAATGGGGCACAGCAGGGTAGGGAGTTACAGCAGCAGGGTGGAGGGGGCACAGTAGGGGAGGGGGTTACAGTAATAGGGTGGACAGGCCACAGTAGGGGAGGGTTACAGTAGTAGAGTGGAGAGGGGCACAGTAGGGTAGGGGGTGACAGTAGTAGGGTGGAGGAGGCACAGTAGGGTAGGGAGTTACAGTAGTAGGGGTGGAGGGGGGCACAGTAGGGTGGGGAGTTACAGTAGTAGGGTGGAGGCACAGTAGGGTGGGGAGTTACAGTAGCACAGTGGAGGGCACAGTAGGGTAGGGGTGACAGTAGTAGGATGGAGGGGCACAGTAGGGTATGGAGTTACAGTAGTAGAGTGGAGGGGGCACAGTAGGGTAGGGGGTGACAGTAGTAGGATGGAGGAGGCACAGTAGGGTAGGGGGTTACAGTAGTAGGATGGAGGGGGCACAGTAGGGTAGGGAGTTACAGTAGTAGGATGGAGGGGCACAGTAGGGTGGGGGTGACAGTAGTAGGATGGAGGGAGGCACAGTAGGGGTGAGGGGGTGGGATGTAGGAGGCGGTAGGGTGGGGGTAGGGGGCACAGTAGGGTGGAGGGGGGGTAGGGGGTGACAGTAGTGGAGAGGGCACAGTAGGGTAAGGGGTTAGGGTGGAGGGGGCACAGTAGGGTGGGGGTGACAGTAGTAGGATGGAGGAGGCACAGTGGGGTGGGGGGTGACAGTAGTAGGATGGAGGAGGGGCGGTTACAGTAAGTTGGGATGGAGTGGAGGGCACAGTAGGGTAGGGAGGTTACACAGTAGTAGGGGGTGAGTAGCACAGTGGAGGTAGTGGGATGGAGGGGACACAGTAGAGGGTAGGGGGTTACAGTAGTGGGATGGAGGAGGCACAGTAGGGTGGAGGGGGTGACAGTAGTGGGATGGAGGGGCACAGTAGGGGAGGGGAGGGTAGTAGGGTGGAGGGCACAGTGCAGGTGGAGGGGGCACAGTAGGGGTAAAGGGGTGACAGTGGTAGGATGGAGGGGCACAGTAGGGTAGGGTGACAGTGAAGTAGGATGGAGGGGACACAGTAGGGTAGGGAGTGACAGTAGTAGGATGGAGGGAGGCAGGCTGTAGGGTAGGGGTTACAGTAGCAGGTGGAGGGGCACAGTAGGGAGGGGTGACAGTGGTGTAGAGTGGAGGCAGCACAGTAGGGTGGGGTGAAAGGAGTACAGTAGTAGGGTGGAGGGGCACAGTAGGGTGGGGAGTTACAGTGGCAGTGGAGGGCACAGTATGGGGGGAGGGTGACAGTGGTACAGTTGGAGGGGGAGGCACAGTAGGGTATGGGTTGGTGTGGCACAGTGGAGAGGGCACAGTTAGGTGGGGGTGACAGTAGTAGGATGGAGGGGGTGACAGTAGCAGGTGGAGGGCATGGGATGGTAGTGGGTGAGTAGGATGGAGGGTGGCACAGTAGGGTAGGGAGTTGGTAGGTAGTAGGGTGGAGAACAGGTAGGGTGGGGGGTGACTGAGTGGGGCACAGTGGGTGAGGGGCACAGTAGGGTAGGGAGTTACAGTGGGTAGGGGAGTGGAGGGGGCACAGTGGGGTGAGGGGTGACAGTAGTAGGATGGAGGGAGGCACAGTGGGGTGGGGGTGACAGTGAGTGGGTGGAGGAGCACAATGTGGGGTATGGGTTAGTAGGGGCGGCACAGTAGTGGGGTTACAGTGGAGGGGCACAGTAGGGTAGGGGGTGACGGTAGTAGGGATGGAGGAGGCACGAGTAGGGAAGGGTTACAGTGGTAGGGTGGAGGGGCACAGCAGGGTGGGGGGTGACGGTGAGTAGAAGTGGAGGGGGACACAGTGGGGAAGGGTTACAGTAGTAGGATGGAGGGACACAGTAGGTTAAGGGAGTTACGGTAAGTAGGATGGAGGAGCACTGTAGGGTAGGGGTTACAGTGAAGTAGGATGGATGGAGGCGCACAGTGGGGGAGGGTTACAGTGTAGGGTGGAGGAGCACAGTAACAGGTGGAGGGGCACAGTAGGGTAGGGGGTGACAGTGGCAGGTGGAGGGGCACAGTGGGGAGGGGTGACAGTGAAGTAGGATGGAAGGGCACAAGTAGGGTAAGGGGTGACAAGTAGATGTGGAGGGAGCACAGTAGGGTGGGGGTGACAGTAGTAGGGTGGAGGGGCACAGTAGTGTTGGAGTTGACAGTAGCAGGAGTGGAGGGAACTGTAGGGTAAGGGGTGACAGTAGTAGAGTGGAGGGACACAGTTGGGTGTAGGGTGACGATAGTAGAGTGGAGGGGCAGCAGTAGGGTGGGGGGTGAAAGTAGGATACGGATGGAGGAGGCACAGTTGGGTGGGGTTGAGGTAGCAGGTGGAGAACAATGGTGGGAAGGACAATGAAATAATCGGAGTAAAGGAGTGGGAAAGGCAGGTGGAGGGAGTGCACAACTGATGGGATGGGAGAAACACTGAAATAGTAGAGTGGAAGTGGGGTGGGGTTGGAAGTTGGGAGAAGGTGGTAAAGTGGAAGTGAGCAATGGTAGTGGAGGGGGCACAGTAGGTAGGGGGTTACAGTAGTCAGGATGGAGGCACAGGAGTAGGGTGACAGTAGGATGGAGGGCACAGTAGGGTATGGAAGTTACAGTGGCTGGGTGGAGTGGGCACGGTGGGTAGGGTGGGGTGACAGTGGTGGGATGGAGGGGCTGGTGGGGTGTGGAGACGGTAGTGGAGGGGCACAGGGTGAGGGGTGTAAGTTACAGTAGTAGGGTGGAGGGGCACAGGTGGGGTGGGGGTGACAGTGGTAGGATGGAGGGGCACAGTAGGGTGGGAGTTGGTGGTAGGGTGGAGGGGCACAGTGGGGTATGGGTTACAGTAGCAGGTGGGAGGGGCACAGTAGGGTGGGGGGTGACAGTAGTAGGATGGAGGGGCACAGTAGGGTGGGGGGTGACAGTAGTAGGAGGGAGGGAGGCACAGTAGGGTAGGGGGTGACAGTAGCAGGTGGAGGGGCAGTAGGGTAATGGAGTGACAGTAGTAGGATGGAGGGGCACAGTAGGAGTGGGGTGACAGTAGTAGGGATGGAGGGGCACAGTAGGGTGGGGGTTACAGTGGCAGTAGGGTGGAGGAGGCACAGTAGGGGTGGGGGTGACAGTGGCAGTAGAGTGGAGGGGACACAGTGGGGGGGAAGGGGGTGACGGTGAGTAGGATGGAGGGGGCACAGTAGGGTAGGGGTGACAGTGGTAGGTGGAGGGGGCACAGTAGGGTAGGGGTTACAGTGAGTAGGATGGAGGGAGGCACAGTAGGGTATGGGTTACAGTGAGGTGGAGGGGGCTTTGAGGGGTAGGGGGGTGAAAGTAGTAGGGTGGAGGAGGCACAGTGGGGTGGGGTGACAGTAGTAGGGTGGAGGGACACAGTGGGTGGAGGGGTGACAGTAGTAGGATGGAGGGGCACAGTGGGGTGGGGTTACAGTGGTAGGATGGAGGGTGCACAGTTGGGTAGGGGGTGACATGAAGTAGAGTGGAGGGCACAGTGGGGTATGAAGTTACAGTAGCAGGTGGAGGGTGCACAGTGTGGTAGGGGTGACACAGTAGTAGGTGGAGGGGCACAGTAGGGTGGGAAGTTACAGTAGTAGGTGGAGGGGCACAGTAGGGTGAGGGGTGACAGTAGCAGGTGGAGGGGCACAGTAGGGTATGAAGTTACAGTAGCAGGTGGAGGGGCACAGTGGGGTAGGGGGGGTGACAGTAGTAGAGAGTGGAGGGGCACAGTAGGGTAAAGGAGGTTACAGTAGCAGGTGGAGGAGGGCACAGTAGGGTAGGGGGTGACAGTAGTAGGATGGAGGGGGGCACAGTAGGGTAGGGAGTTACAGTAGTAGGATGGAGGGAGCACAGTAGGGTGGGGAGTTACAGTGCTGGTTGAGTGGAGGAGGGCACAGTAGGGTGGGGGTGACAGTGAGTAGGATGGAGGGGGCACAGTAGGGTGATGGAGTTACAGTAGTAGAGTGGAGGGGCACAGTGGGAGGGAGGGGGTGACAGTAGTAGGTGGAGAAGGCACAGTAGGGTGAGGGTGACAGTAGCAGGTAGGGTGGGAGGGGTGGGGGTGACAGTGGGGGATGAGGGGTGACAGTAGTAGATGGTTATGGAGAGCACAGTTGGAGAATAGGGAAAGTAGTTGACAGTAGTAGGGTGGAGGGGCACAGTAGGGTAGGGTTACAGTAGTGGCTTGGAGGGGACACGGTAAAGTCGGGGGTGACAGTAGTAAGTCGTTGAAGTAAAGGATGGAGGGGCACTTCGGTGGGTGGGGAACTGGATGGAAGTAGAGTGGAGGGGCAGTAGGGTATTAGAGATTGGTAGCAGGTGGAGGTCTGGTGGTGGTAGTTGTTAGTGGAAGGTGGAAGGGGCAGTAGGGTATGGAGGTTGAAGTAACAGGTGGCAAGTAGGGTAAGGGGTTCAGTTGGTGGAGGGGCACAGTAGGGTGTGGAAGTTGCTGGCAGGTGGAGGGGCTGTAGTAGGGTAAGGGTGGTAACAGTATGAAGTGAGGATGAGAGGTGGCAGTAGGGTAGGGAGTTACAGAAGTGGGTGGGAGAGAGGGCAGTAGGGTAGGAGTTAATTAAGGAGTGGAGGGGCAGTGGGGGAGGGTGACAGTGAAGTATTGGGATGAGGGGCTGGTAGGGTGTGGAGTTACGGTGGTAGGTGGAGGAACTGAAGTAGGGTAGGGGTGACAATGAAAGGGGATGGAGGCTGCACAGGCTAGGGTGGGGTGACAGTGAAGGTAGGGGTGGAGGGCGCACGGCTAGGGGGAGGGTGACGTGGTCGGATCGGAGGAAGACTGGTTAGGTAGAGTTGGTAGCAGGGTGGAGAGGGGGCACAGTAGGGTAGGGTTACAGTAGTAGCTTGGAGGAGGCACAGCATGGTAGGGGGTTACAGTTAGTGGTGTTCCGATGATCGATTATAATCGATAATTGATTGGTTACCCTTTTCCGATGCGATGATCGATTGCAAAATTTCATAATCGTTTGTTGCTGATAATTCTTAGAAAAACAGTAATGAATACCCAACTCAGACCACAAGACAAGGGTCGGTCACCGATAATTATAACTTCTATCTTCATTATTCACTGAAATCACAATCATATTGCGTCTACACACGCTTCGAAATGAAGTGTAGTTTACAGAAAATGGATATGCATATATATTTTGTTTTGCTAAGTGTCATATTTATTGTAGCTGGCGTTCACAACAAAGTGGCATGTGTATTTCACCTCATGTCATGCACGTACAACTTTCACTTACCATGTTCATGAGGGTTCTCTTTTCACTCCAACCGTGATAGCACCAATTTCAGTTTCAGATTATTCTCAACAATCACAAACTGATTACCGCCTCGTCATCCATGGAGGCCCTAGTTTAGAGTAACATCGGTGAAAACGTGTGTGAAATGGCATGTTTATTTCACCTCATTCCAAACGCGTTCAACTTCCGCTTACCATCTTTGTGAGGGTCCGTATAACCTTAGTGTTGATTATACATATTTTACATTGATAGAGCAAAACCTTTAAGTAAACTTATACAATGCTAGGATATATTTCTCTTGGTAAAATAATAGTTTTAGATATTATATTTTACCGATCACTGCTGCAGAATTCATCCTGTTATTATCCTTCGCAACGCGTTTTGTGGGGGGTGTTAAAATGGATTCCGTCCGTGCACATTGGTCTTTTCCGGAGCAGAACTTTAAACCATTCAATATTTCTTCACCAAACTTGGCACATGGATATATCTGGTGGTGTACTGGTGCCTTTTGGTAGTTTTGGTATTCTGAAATAAATATTTTTGGCGTTTCCATGGCAACAGGTTTGACTTAGACTGAAATTGGTGATAGTGCTCTTTTCCAGAGCAGAACTCTAAAACTGTTCACTATTTCTTCACAAAACTTGGCACATAGATTGGTCTAGTGGTGTACTGGTGCCTTTTGGTAGTTTAGGAATTCTGAATAAAATATTTTTGGCGTTTCCATGGCCACCTGGTTTGACTTAGAATGAAATTGGTGGTAGTGATCTTTTCCAGAGCAGAACTCTCAAACCATTCAATGTTTCTTCACCAAACTTGGCACATAGATTGGTCTAATGGTGTACTGGTGCTTTTGGTAAGTGATTTTGGTTGTGATTGTGTAAAATCTGCAAAAGAGTGAATTGAACTGTCAGCTTTTCTATATCTTGTTAGTCTGTCAGTATTTATTTTTGTACACATTTTTTTGTTGATCAGTGTAGACATGGGTTGTTTGTAATTTTGTACAATCTTGCCTCAAATGACAATTAAAACTTATGAAAAATATCATATTCAGGAGTTTTTAAGTAGATGCACACTCAAGTCATGTTTTTCACAGAAACCAAACACTAAAGCTGACATATTTCATTTAATGCTCACTACTATCACATATGTCTAAATATGACAAATATACAGTATTGCTGTATTGTGAAAGAGTTCAAATGTTTACCTGGGAATTGCGCAAGTTGTACAAAATATTTAATTCTTAATCAGTGTAACCGACTGTACAATCAATCATTGATCAGATGGGACAATCCGATTGCAACCGATAATCAATTATGAAATTTCAACCGATCCCCACCACTAGTAACAGTTGCAGGGTGGAGGGGGACACAGCAGGGTAGAGTGGTTACTGTAGCAGGGTGGAGGGGGGCACAGCAGGGTTGAGGGGGACAGTAGCACGGTGGAGGGGGCACAGCAGGGTAGGGAGCTACAGTAGCAGGGTGGAGGGGCACAGCAGGGTAGAGTGGTTACTGTAGCAGGGTGGAGGGGGACACACCACGGTAGGGGAGTTACAGCAGCAGGGTGGAGGGGGATTCAGTAGGGTAGGGGGTTACAGTAGGGGGGTGGAGAGGGTAGGGGTAGGGGAGCTACAGTAGCAGGGTGGATGGGGGCACAGCAGGGTAGAGTGGTTACTGTAGCAGGGTGGAGGGGGCACAGCAGGTTAGAGTGGTTACTGTAGCAGGGTGGATGGGGGCACAGCAGGGTGTAGAGTGGTTTCTGTAGCAGGGTGGAGGGGATTCAGTAGGGTAGGGGGTTACAGTAGCAGGGTGGAGGGGGATTCAGTAGGGTAGGGGTTACAGTAGCAGGGTGGAGGGGGGACACAGTAGTAGGGTGAGGGTAGGGTAGGGGAGCTACAGTAGCAGGGTGGATGGGGGCACAGCAGGGTAGAGTGGTTACTGTAGCAGGGTGGAGGGGGCACAGCAGGTTAGAGTGGTTTCTGTAGCAGGGTGGAGGGGACATGACAGCGTATAGTGGTTTCTGTAGCAGGGTGGAGGGCAGACACGGCAAGGTAGGGAGTTACAGTAGGAGGGAGAGGGACACAGTAAGGTAGGGGAGTTACGGTAGCAGCATTTGGGGAAGGGGGGGGCAAAGCAGGTTAGAGTGGTTACTGTAGCAGGGTGGAGTGGGGACACAGCAGGGTAGGGGAGTTACGGTAGCAGGGTGGAGGGCAGACACGGCAAGGTAGGGAGTTACAGTAGCAGGGAGGGGGACACAGCAGGGTAGGGGAGTTACTGTAGCAGGGTGGAGTGGGGACCCGACACGGCCAAGTCTCTGTTGGCGGTGCACAGTTTGGTTAAATCCAGACCCATTATTTGTTTTAAATTGGTTGCAATGCATGTCACCACCTTTTGTCAATGTATATTGGGTGGGAAGGAGGTAACATGACTTATAGCCAAAGTATTTGTTACAGATTTACAACCAGAGCCAGTACTCTAAGCGTAGTATTCACAAAGCCATTCTAAATGGGGCACGTTCTTTGCATCTATACCCAAATAATCCCCGAATGGTGCCCGATGGCCTCAGTCCAGCATGTCACAAGATGTTCATCACTGTCAAGGATGCTGCCAGCCTGAGCAGAGTCACCAAGGACCCAGGAGGCGCCAAGCAGAGGAGACTCCTGACAAGCAAGACTGGCACACGTAGGGAAACTGCTAGCATTGCATAGTGTTCACAACTATGTGTTGCAGACTTTCCTCTACCATTAATGGGCCTTTAGATTGATGTAAAACAGAGATGTGTAATGTTTCTTAGCTTTAAACTGTGTCAGCTGTGGATTTCAGTTGAATAACATCAGGTTTCAGGTGATCATATCTGCCTTTGTTGTCTGCCTTTGCTATATATACCAATTATACATCCCCAGTGGCTGTTCCATACAAGCTTACTAATATTGTCGTCATAGGTCCATTTTTATAAACTGATTGTATTGTGTGTAGTGAGTGTTACATCAGCTGTGTGTTGTGTAGTGTTACATCAGCTGTGTGTTATGTGTAGTGTTACATCAGCTGTGTGTTGTGTGTAGTGAGTGTTACATCAGCTGTGTGTTATGTGTAGTGTTACATCAGCTGTGTGTTGTGTGTAGTGTTACATCAGTTGTGTGTAGTGTTACATCAGCTGTGTGTTCTGTGTAGTGTTACATCAGTTGTGTGTAGTGTTACATCAGCTGTGTGTTCTGTGTAGTGAGTGTTACATCAGCTGTGTGTTATGTGTAGTGTTACATCAGCTGTGTGTTGTGTGTAGTGTTACATCAGTTGTGTGTAGTGTTACATCAGCTGTGTGTTCTGTGTAGTGTTACATCAGTTGTGTGTAGTGTTACATCAGCTGTGTGTTGTGTGTAGTGAGTGTTACATCAGCTGTGTGTTATGTGTAGTGTTACATCAGCTGTGTGTTATGTGTAGTGTTACATCAGCTGTGTGTTGTGTGTAGTGAGTGTTACATCAGCTGTGTGTTATGTGTAGTGTTACATCAGCTGTGTGTTGTGTGTAGTGTTACATCAGTTGTGTGTAGTGTTACATCAGCTGTGTGTTGTGTGTAGTGAGTGTGACATCAGCTGTGTGTTATGTGTAGTGTTACATCAGCTGTGTGTTGTGTAGTGTTACATCAGCTGTGTGTTGCGTAGTGTTACATCAGCTGTGTGTTGTGTGTAGTGAGTGTTACATCAGCTGTGTTTTGTGTGTAGTGTTACATCAGTTGTGTGTAGTGTTATATCAGCTGTGTGTTGTGTAGTGTTACATCAGCTGTGTGTTGTGTAGTGTTACATCAGCTGTGTGTTATGTGTAGTGTTACATCAGCTGTGTGTTGTGTGTAGTGAGTGTTACATCAGCTGTGTGTTGTGTAGCGTTACATCAGCTGTGTTATGTGTAGTGTTACATCAGCTGTGTGTTGTGTGTAGTGAGTGTTACATCAGCTGTATGTTATGTGTAGTGTTACATCAGCTGTGTGTTGTGTGTAGTGAGTGTTATATCAGCTGTGTGTTGTGTAGTGTTACGTCAGTTGTGTGTAGTGAGTGTTACATCAGCTTTGTGTTGTGTGTAGTGAGTGTTACATCAGCTGTGTGTTGTGTGTAGTGAGTGTTACATCAGCTGTGTGTAGTGAGTGTTCCACCAACTGTGTGTTGTGTGTACAGTCCGTTTGAGTCAGAAACGGACCGATGAATTGCACATTTTATCATTGTCACATAAATATAAATAGTACACATGTGTATCATTATTTTTCCTTATCCTGACTCATGCTCTTTTTGCTTGTCTTCTTCTTCTTGCGAACATAGTGGAACACTTGTATCTCCCTAATTGAAGCTCCCTTCAATTTAAAATCACTAATTAGTATTCACCACGAGTTACCTCCCTTCCACAAGCGCGGGAACGAGGGCGCCACCTCTACCCATGTGCCTCACTCTCTCCTTCTTCGCCCAGTGAGCTGGACGTGAGAGCGCCTGTGTCTCCCGACACACTATATCCTTTGAATTATATTTAGTTAGTTACCTCGTATAGACATCTATAGAGGTTTAGCTAGTATCCTTCAACGATTATATATTGATATTTAGTCGCTTTTCTACAGTTTATTCACGGGACGCCGTGTTTGTTTCAGTGGATTACGCTTGATGAAAATTCTGTACTATTGCAGATTACGCTTTGTGTATGCTGCTGCTGATCCACCTTTTATATGATGTACGGCGCCATGTTCATTATATTCACATTGCAGTTGCGGTACTAATTTATCCAATTCTACCTTTTATTAATATTTACTTTGGCGCTTGGCACGCACAGCAGATAGGTCGCGATGCAGAGTCTAGTATGACTGATACACCGAACCCTCGCCAGTCTACTGCTGTTGGCCGACTCCCCTCCCGTGTGGTGTTCCGCTAGAGTGGTGGAGAGGTGTGGGACGTAGTCCGCCATCTCCAAGAAGCATCCTGCTTCCCCAGACATCCCATCGTCGCAGCAGAAGACTAGAGGGTTTTCTACTACATCTCAACAGCCGAGATCGTTCCCATCGCAGTTTTGGGCCTGTATGATGATCAGCCGATCATCATACCTGATGTACATCAAAAGATTGACCGATGTCGGCACAGATCAGCATGCAGCCTGATGTACCAACGCTGATATTCGATGATCGTCCTGAGGGTCCCATCATTACCAACACTCAACGCAGACGTCGCACACCCAGGGCAGCGTCGACCTCTGAGGGAAAATCAACGAAGTCTACTAGGACTTTCTCAACCGAGATTGTTCCAGCCGATGACCTGGACCTCTACGATGATCAGCTGATCATCATCCCCGACGTACGCCACAAGAAACGACCGGTGACAGCTACAACGACATCAGCAGAGATCACCATGCAGCCTGATGCCTCTACACTGATGTCGGACGATTTTCCTGTGGACCCCTCCATTAACACCGCAGATAAGGCACCGACGACCTCGTCGCAGACCATCCCTGAGGACCTGATGCGGCAAATTATGACCATGATGGAGGACCACTACAGACTGCATAAGCAGGGACCGAGCCTTCGCGAAGGCTCCAACGTAGACAGCACCCCAGAGGCACCCCCGTCAACGTAGCAGCCAGGACGATGTCACCTTCGCGAAGGAAGTCACGGACCACCTTGACGGCGGACCTAGATGTACAGCCTTCGCCGGGCCTTCGCGAAGGCGAAAGGACCTAGATGTACAGCCTTCGCCGGGCGGAAGGACCTAGATGTACAGCCTTCGCTAAGGCGACTTCGCTAAGCAGGATAGATCATCACCATATGCGGTTTCATCCCTAGATGTGGACTCGGACCATCAGACATCACGGAAGCCTTCGCGAAGGTCATATCGCTCGTCGCTCCTCGACCGACGCAGAGGAAGCTTCGCTAAGGCATGCGCGAAGGACACCTGAATCCAGATCATCATCATCTAGAAGGACATCGAGGGACTATACAAGAGCTTCGCGAAACTATCAACGCTCCCCTCACAAGTCTCCGAGAAGATCAACCCATAGACAAGTTGATCATCGATATCAAGTATAAGAACTACAATCGTATATTGGTTCTGTTGAATCCATGACGAGACGTATGTTTGCTGGCCTAAATAGATCTAGAACGATCAATTAGACACTTATCACCAGACTTCGTAACACGACTTCTGAAAATGATAAGATGATCCATGCGGCCCTACTTAGGCAAGGCTGTTCGCGGAGCAAGCGCTCATATATATATTTATATATATATATATATACTAATCGGGCTTTGACTCGATACCTTCGCGATGGTCGCGAAGGCTAAGTGGCTCCAAGTCTACTTCACCCAGAAGATCTAGAAGGGATACTTCGAGAACTTCGCGAAGTCTCCGGCGTTCACCGAGGAAGTCTCCTCCAAGGTTTCTATATACTAGCCACTCGTCATATATAGCTACTCGTCAGTCCGTTCAAGACGTCGCATAAGTTGATTATCAACTGTATGCCAGATGCCGCCTATAAGCTTCCACGCTAAGATAATTGTTCAGGCTATTTACAACACAGAACGCCGCTGTATTATTTAGTCAACGACATTTCTTAGATCTTCACAGAAATCAACTATTCCGTGATAAATTGCTAATATGCAATCCCGACGACGATACGATTATCTACATGCGTGACCATTACGCATATCTGCAGACAATTCAATATCGAAATTGAACAGCAGCCTTGTTACAGCGAGTATAACTCTTAATCGTCAAAGTTTCTGAGAAGAAATATGGACAACAAGTTCAATGTTAATTCTACAATTATGACGATACATTCATGTATACAGTCTACAAGCTCACAACTTGCAAGTTGTTTGTACCCTTATATAGAAGGAAGTCGGAATTATATTCAAAACTGAAATTACTTTCACGACAACCAGGAAAATAACCTACCCAGCATAAAATTACAGAGCGAGATATTTCATACGGAGGTTTCGGCAAGTTACCATTAACCTCAAACACGTGGTCACTGGATAACTTCGAAGCTACGGTGAAGACCAACGCTTATGCTAATATCAACGAATTTTACAAGAATTTATTCAAGGTGGGTTTTTCCGCTACACCGTGACATCACAGCGCTGGTATTATACAGAATCAAAATGCCTTGTTCTGATTGGACCATGAGGGACAACGACTCACGCAGAGGTCGATCTCAATTCACAGTTCAAGACTTACGCCACAAGTGACAACTATATATCAGTGAACGAAAGCAAGCCTCATTACAGTCCAGTTAACCTGAACATTCATGATTAGACTGCCTTCTTCATAGAGACCTCCCCGTCAAGTTAAGACGAGGGATCGGGCAGTCAGGCTTATTTTACATAAAGTTCAACGAGGACAGACACACCTGGTTGTGCACCTACATTGTCAAGGACTTCGCGAGCTTAATTACCTAGACGAAAGATACAAGTGGATCTAAATCCACAGCGCTTCAGACTACAGCTGAATTTCATCAGCTTACTAACACAACTAGATGGTTAGTAAACCTACTAAGCTTCTGTTTGGAGAATAAAACGGAAGTTTCACGCCAACCTGGGGATATGAATATAGTGTTCCAACACCTCACAAGTGAGGTTTATGAATACTTGGATGACATACTTGGACCCCATGATACGATGATTCTATCAATGATGGCCAGCAAGAGCACTGTAAATTTAT